TTTTTATAAGTCAGTCACTCTTTGGCCTTTTTTGCTATTTTTAGTAGCATATATCATTTCAGAGAACGAAGTGTTGAATCCACTCGCTTGAAGGGTGCTCTTTTGTTCCTTGGTAATGGCGTGAATATTTATCTTCTCCCTAAATAGGGCCCCTTCTCATTAGACGGTCACCGGTCTAGAAGTTCTATTCTGAATTCAAAAGCTTAAAACGCCTGTTAGTATCGGACAGCCTACCTTATTTTATATAAATGTATGTCGAACAAATCCTGAAGCTCATTAAAGCGAAAAAAAATCTATGAGCTTTTATTGCATACGCAAAACCACCCAAACGTGTCTTTCTTTTGTAACGTCTGCTCAGTTTCTGACCTTTTTAGCTCTAAGTATTATGGAGGCACGGCGGAGTAATGGGTTGCAGCTCGGATTGAGCAATCGAAGAACCGAGTTCGAATTCCAGTCGAGTTCATTACTGTAGCATAATTGACCATGGTTAAATATAATTGGTAGAAATTGCCAATAAAGAGTCTTGATAAAGTTTGCAATAACGCGAGAAATAAAATAAAAGAACAAGACAAATATAATTCATGCAAGCAAACAATATATGCAAGGCAAAGCAAAAGCAATATAGCGAATAGCTGACAAACTAAGAATATAAACACACAAAAGGGGATACAGACAAGCGATCGCAGCCTTCTGGATTCAAGACAAGAAAAAACATAACTTAAGTGTGATTAGACCGAGAAGTAGCCTATCTTATAAGCGAGAAAGAAATCCCTATATGCATCTCTGTGTTATGTGTAGAAATTAGGGAGAGTGAAGTATTTTGCAGGCATTCCTATTCTGATTGACCCACTACAGTGTCAGCATGGGACGCTAGTAGACCAATGAAAAAGGGCCCGGAGGACTATGTTGCATACAAGGAAAAGTATGCGCACTATACCAAGGGAAATGAATTCTTGACCATCACAGAGGCCCTAGACGCAGTTGCCACCTGGACAATTCCCATGCTGACAACAAAGATGGTAAAACGGCGACTTATTGTCGAAAATAACAACACATTTTTCGCTCTTTACTCTATTTCGCTTTTATTAAAACTACAAATGTGTCAAATCAGTTTCCCGCATCGCTCAACGCGCTTTTCTTTGTTCATAAAGTTTTGTTTTTTTTCCAATCTCTTAATATTTTACTTAGTTTCGGGAAGACTACTCTCTGTATTCGTTTGCGCTTTTGGATTTTTGTGTTACATGTTCCGACGCCTGTTTCCTACACTACTCAAATATTTAAATATATTTGTAGCGGATTTCTTTTGAAAAACTTTTAACCCGCCACTTGAGGTGTTCTTGTTGCTGGCGATTATCTATCCGGCCTTCTTCCAATTGATGGTGAAGGCTTACGTCGATATCACGTTGGAACATTTATTCCCGATCACCGCAGTTAAGAAACGTCGAGCCTCGTCAGTACTTAGACTTGTGACCGTTTGAGAATACCAGGCACTGTAAGCTTAGATGTTGAGGTTGTATAAGGGATACCGGTTTGGAATTGAAAGTCGGAGAGCTGAGTTCCAATATCAATCGGGTTGTGCTATAACAAACTTCGTAGCGCTTATAAGTAATGCTTCGGCAACTTGTCGTGATGCCGGTATTAATTAGTCTGAAGACTGACTCAAAAAGGCTTCAATATTTATGAAAATACAAAAATGTGATAAAAGGTCAAAAGTGCGGAAAGGCTGGTATTCTTTTGTCTTATAATTAAACTTAAATCGCCAAAAATCACTGACCTTGACAATATTCCTTACACCTTACATTCTTGCATAATGTTCGTACTACATTCACCCTAATACCTCAGAATCTCTATGACGTCCTATCTAGTCTCCATAGAAACAATTTATGTCTTTGGGAGAGGGGAATGAAACAACAATTTAAAAACCTAAACACAAACGTTAATTTACAATATGTGAAAAAAAAATATTTAACAAGAAACTCAGAAAAATAAAGTTAGTAATAAAAAAAACAACACAATCCTTAATTGTGGCAGAAACATCATTTGATTGGACGAAATTAATGCATAACATAAATAATCAAATCACAAAAACAAATAACAAATTCGCACCCGAAATATGAAAGTCGTCCCGCATCCACCAGAGAACTGACATCTCTGATCATCTAACGGGGAAGAGGAGGGGGAATTAAATTAAGGAAAACGGCGGAAGAAATAAAAGAAGCTAATGATCTTACATTATCTAGCTAAGTAATTTTGAAAGAAGAAACTAAAGACATAAAACAATCCTAAACTAATCTAATTTTGGACTGGGTTGCCAATTTTCAATGAAGTTAGAACAATATACTTATTCCTAAACGGTGTTAAAGTGCTACTCTAAATTGGCCCCTCTTACTCGAAAGATACGTGCAAGACTCACCCACGTTTTTCCAAATTTCGATTAAGGTGGGGTGCTTTCTGTACTAATCTTGACTTTACCTTGAAGCTTAAAGAACAAGATCATTTGGAAAAAGGCGATCTTCTCGTCCCCAAGGAATTCTTTCTTAAATGCTGTCCCTATCACGACTCTCATAACATATATCAAGCAAATGAATACAGTTTCATCCTCCTTCAAAGATGATACCACACTGCGACAAACAGAACTGACGTCAAGGACATAAAAATTTCCTCGGGGGATACGAACCATGATATCTTCAATAAACTTGCACAAGGGGGATACGGGCCTGCAGTGAAAGAAGGCATGATTGAGGCTCTCGAACCCCTCATCGCAGCGAACGCAATTTGAAGATGTTTCCCAGCCCGCCATACAGAGTTCTTTGCCGACCCAGATGTCCCTTAGAATCACCAGCCATGTGACGGATGCCTCGTCGGTAGTGAGGCATTTCAACCAGGGTGTACAAGGCCATACGGAGTAAGCAACCTGTTTCATAAGACCTAGCTCGCCTATCAAATTCTACTGAACGGATCTCTCACTGAAAAGTGATATAATGACTTACGGGACAATAGCCGGATGTCGAAGAGGGCTATCCGACATTCAAGGTAGAAGGAATACTCGCCTTGGAGTAAACGGGACGTGGGGTTCTTCCTCACACATCTGCACACTTCTCAAGGTTGGGAAGTTCTTCCAGAATTCGCCCACACCATCCGATTGCTGACATATTCGATCTCGGATCGCGATGCGAAATGTATGTTCACGAAACTCAACGCTAGGCATACACAGACCGCCTTCAGATGGGTGGATGTAATAGATCACCAGAACTACCCTGGGGATCTTACCTCCCAAGAAGAAGGAGAACAAGATCCTTACTAATGTCATTAGTATGGCATACGGAAGTGGAAGTACGGAGATTCGCTAAAGGAGAATTTCCGCCCTCTTCATTAAGAAAATATTCTTCCGGGACCACAGACGAACTGCAACGTCGGACTTCCCCCGTATCTCCGACCGATTCATTTCCAAGAGTAGATCGGGACTGAACCGGATGCCGGTTATCTAAATGTCCGGGAAGAGAAAATAATTCCACGCATCCAACCACATGCCAACAGATTTATCGCGGTTGATCTTGGCCACTGTTACCGTCTCGTACATTCGTCAATCTCAGCTCTGCTTGACACAAGAACCGAAACGTCGTCTGCATAGCCAGTCAACCAGCTTCAGCGCTTCCCAGATTTCCGACTCTTGACTGTGACCCTTTCACCTAGCCGCCTCGAGGCGGAGAATGGCGGCCAAATAGGCGACGAACTGGGCACTGATCAGACCGGGATCCTTAGTGAACAGATGCTGAAAGTAATCAAGGAAAGACTCACATATCCTGCTTTTGTTGGCACGGCCCGCCTGTCCGGTAATGAGAAGTAAGCGATATGACTATTGAATTCATTTTTATCTTCCTCTGCACGCAATGCTGTGGCCATATTCGTCGCATCATAAAACATTCTTTTTAACTTAGCCCTAACTACCAGTCCGTGTCCAGGAGACATAAGAGGAGGTACTTGGTCGTCAGAGGAAGCAATACAGCCATGGATTTCTAATGATATATTTGACGTCTGCAGCAGGAGAAAAACCTTGACTATGACTGAAAACTCTAGCCTTGAAAGTGCCGCCGAGTACTATGAAACCAACAATCAATTACGCAGGCATATGGAGGTAAACAAGGAATTTTGGATCAAACCAGAATTGTGGAAACATCGAGAAAGGAATGAAAAAAGGCAACGGCATATGATACACTGAAAAAGCTTAAGAAATCACGGCAGATCAGATCCACAATTATCGTGGGTAGATCGGGTGGAAGACAATATAGTCGGGACTTATACAATCATCCCATAAAGCCCGACATTAGTTTAAATGATGTATACTCAACATCAACGAGAACACCTTCATCACTTCCAGTATTGAGGGAAAGGTGGAAGAAGACGTGGGAAGTCGCCAGGAGCAGAAAATATTCTGGTGATGGCATGAATTGGCTTTTTCCAGAAAATCTGAGAAAGAACAATGGCCCATAGAATAAACTCAATCACTCATCATCCCCAGGCTCCCAAAAGAAAACTTTCGCCAGTGCCAGAACTACAAGACCGTCAACCTCGTTAGCCACACCAGTAAAAACATGCTTCGAGGCTGAAGAATATCTAGCAGAAGAACAAGTTGGATTTAAGGCAGGCAGAAGCTCTGTGTAGCAGATCATCAATTGTCGCATTTTGATGAAGAAACATCTTCAATATCAGAGGGATCTGTTCCATAACATTATAGATTTCAAGAAAGCCTTCGACATAGTGTGCCATGACTGTGTCAGGTACTGAGTAATTTCGACACTTATCCCAACCGTCGGGGCACTGTATAAGACCCTCCAGCAGTGCGGTCCTCTTCAACATTCAAGAGCTCAGTTGCCATCCGTCAGGGTTGTTTGATTTCCTCAACATTGTTCAATCTTTTTCTTGAGAAAATCATGCGAGAGACCCTTTCAGTCTTTCAGATCACTATATCCATAGGAGGGGGAATCATTAAAATCTTACGCTTATGCTGATGACATTGACTTGTTGAGCGGAAGCAAATCCGAATTGCAGGGTCTCAGCACCAGAATGACAGAGCGTAGGGAACGGATGTGAGCATTGAGAAGATTAAAGACCGGGGGAACAGCACAGCCACCATCAGGGCCAAGACCTTCACGAACGGAGAACAACTGGAAAGATTGGACGTCTTTAAATTATTTGGCATTGCCCTCACCAAAAATGGACACTCTACAACAGTTTTCAATACTAGACTGGCTATGGTAACATCGGAAATGGGAAAACTTAAGATTTGGAAGAGCAGAAATGTCTGCTTTCCAATCAAAATGAAGCTCTATAAGATCCTAGTGCTACCCATACTGCTTTATAGATATGATAGCAAAAACCACCAAGAGAGTCCAACCATTTGAATTGGGATCTCCTGGAGAGAACACAAGACAAATGACATTGTACAAGAGCAAGTAACCCAACTGGCAGATTACCAAGGGCCCCTCTTGGCAACAGTAAAAAGGAGAAAGCTGCTGTTGCTTGGACATGTCATACGCCGTAATACTCTACCCAAGATTGTCCTTCAAGGTACCTTGGAATGGGATAGATATAGGTGGAGGTAGTCGAAATGGTCGATAAAAAAAACATCAAAGAATGGACAAGGATGGACACTCCAGCGCTGTTTCGTGAGTCGCTCATGTCTCTTCTACGATCGGTTCGGTCATGTGAACGAAGGAGGAACTAGAAGTGTTTGATTCTTCTTGATAAGCAAGGAGGCCAACGCTGCTCTAGCTACGGCTACTTCCCCACTATCCGTTTGGGCTACTAATCTAACTAGATTGTATCGATGACTATAATCAGCGGCAAACGAACTAAATTGTGATTTTAATTTATCGCACCACATATTCCTAAAGACAGCCCCCGTCAATTCCAAACAATGAAGCGTTCAATTTCCAGTAGCCAGCGATTCTAAACTTAGGCTTATCTAAGTTTACGCGAAGCCGGTCGTGTCTATCATTTGAGTAAACTATAGAATGGAATTTTGTACGACCTGAGAGCGTTGCATCGACTCTATTAATTAATATTCGGTCGAGGTAACTAGAAAGCGTCACCGAAGTCGAGCTGCCCATGTTATCCCAAGTCAATACTGGTGCCATGTTTATGTAAAAATGGAGTCAGTTAAACTTCTATAATCCTCTGTGCGTATTTGTGGTCGTTAATTCTGTGCCTTCATTTTCAATCTGAATTTGTAAATACGCTTCAGAGAGTTCCAGCTTTGATAATATTCTTCCGCTGTTTAACTGTTCATCTCGTAGAGAATATAATACATAATACATATCATTCTTCTTTCAAAGTTATTTTAAAATTAATCTGCAATATCTTGCCTGGTAGTTGGCTATTCTGAGCAATTGTCTATTAAAACAATATCAAACCTGTGGTGATAAAATTTGTTGGAGTTACCTCCCCTTTCTATTCTAAAATCTCTACACTTATGACGGTTTTCTAAACGTAACTTGGACGTGGGACTTGGCAGGAAGCATAGAAGCTCCCAGTGAGGATCGAACTCACTACTCAGTTGTAATTGTTCTAAAAGTGTGAGTGAGTGAGTGTGAATGTGTGTGTGTAAGAAAATGCGATAATACATATTTCATCAATAATCTAATGTGGCACGTTATTAAGTTAATCTCCTGAAAGACTGATGCCAAAGATATAAAAATAGAATAGAAGTAAAAATCATATGCCGACACAGTCTTCCGGTAAGTTAGACAGATTCAGTAACAAGGATAAAACAACAATGCTACATTTGTATGGGGTTTCTTTCTCAGTCTGTGATTCAATAACGATTACACAGGTGGAAAAAAACTCATTAGTGAACTTAAGGTTGTGCGAAGCGCCTTGCTTGGCAATACGCATTCTGTGTTATCCGAAACTCCATACATCACAACAAATTCTAAGATTGTCGGCAGACTATGTGGAAGTTTGAGTCGCTAATAGATACAATTGGTATTCGTGGTTTTTAAAATTGAACAGATATTTTATTTGCATTGCCACCAGTGGATGTTCGCGGTGAAGAAAATATATTACGAGTGAGTGGTTCATCCACATAAGAAGTGAAGAATGAATATTATTATTCAGAATATAAAAATGAGTTGTAATTTAAAAATTTGACGAAATATGCAAGTCATTGAAGAACAATCTGAAGTTCGAATCGCAACATTTATGCAGCTAATCTCATGTTTTGTTTAACTGGTTTATTTATAAACATATCAACGTTCATTTGGTTATTTAGTGTTGAATATGAGTCTAACTGGACACAAATCTAAGTGGAAAAGCAGAGAGGTACTTGTGGGTCTGTCATAATCGTACACAGGAATAGAGTTTTAAGAAACAAACACAGCTCTTATTGAACGCCCACATTTCTTAAATTTTGTGTGTATTTACGAGAAAATTTAAAATTCGAAGAACAATAAACGTTTTGTATTGTAAAGGTTATTTGATACATATTGTAAACCTTTACCCATTATCATGCATTCAATTGCAAAAGTCCATTCGAATCAAAACAATTCAAAAATTATCTTAATTATTTAACATACTGTTATTTTAAAATTAATCTCTATCTATAAAAGGCAGGATGTGTGTGTGTGTGTGTGTGTGTGTGTGTGTGTGTGTGTGTGTGTGTGTGTGTGTGTGTGTAACGAATGCACGGCCACAATTTTCGACGGATTTAAACCAAAATGTACATGCACATACTCCAAGTTAGCGAGAAGGCCAAGACCGACTTTGCATTTCCCAACTCCCATCGATAGTGGAAATAATCGATTTTATTATGCTTCTGCGGCACTTTTCATGTAGTTTGCGGCCATTTTCTACTGGCCAGAGTAAGAGCCTATAGCTGGCTGCCACGAATAGGCAGGAAGATTCTATTGCTCACCGTGAGAGCCAACAGCTCACTGACACGAATGTTAACCAGCATGCTAGCATGCAAAAAAAATCGATAGCTGCATTCGTCACAAGTGGGAAAAATTTAAATCTGCATGGCACTTTACTTCAATTGGCTCATTCGCTTGCTTAAACTCAACGTTGATTCTGATTCCGCAAAACTGGATTGGGTGTGAAAAAGTATTTGTTGTTAACATTCTTTTTTCATTCGGTTTTTCCAATTACGAGTCCTTTTTTAAAGCTGATCGTTTTGTGTTCATTTTGTTTAGTTCTTTTTTTCGTAACAGATTTAATGTTTAGTATAGAGCTTAGAAAAAATTTGCAGTGTGGGATAGGCAAGTAAGGCATGTAGCAACATCAGCACGGCAAAGGGCACTCCTTTAAAGGCAAGGAAGGGCAAAACTATTTTAAGTCAAGTGATAGCGATTGCTGTATGAGTCGTACGATTTTTGAATCAAGCACGGGCAACGCCGGGCCATGCTGCTAGTCTTTAATATATGCCTGGTAGTTGTCTACTCTGAGCAATAGTCTATTAAAATGATATCAAACCTGTTGTGATAAAATTTGTTGGAGTTACTCTCCCTTCCTATTCCATAACTTATGATGGCTTTCTAAGCGTAGGTTGGATGTGGAACAAAGCTGGAAGTATGGGAACAACCAGTGAGGATTGAACTCACAACTTAGTTGTAATTGGCCTAACGAGACAAGCTTGATAATGATAACACCACGTATACTTATGGCTAAATTGTGTGTTTATATTGCGTCCAAGGTGTAGCTCAATAAGGCTTCAGTAAGCATCACTTCAACTCTCTGCCGTTGTTCATTATAAAACCCTTGCAGAAATTAAAAGTTGAATATAGACTGGACTTAAACCTGTTACAATTCTAAGCAAAAATTACTTGTTACTGTCACAGCAAAAGAAGGATTTTCTTGCCGAAGAAATTCGCTGATTTTTCTCTAAGTGTTTATCTAAAACGAATTGCAGACAATCTGTGAAAACATATTAAAAATGAAGGCTATTAGACATATAAGGCTTATATTGATTTGAGATAACAATTTGGATTTTTTAACTCTCATTATTAATTAATTCAATGAAACTATATTTTGGATAAACGCTTGTGCCTCCTCCTGTTATATCGCTTATTTTCAGGACCGTATTAATAAGATGTTTTTTTTTTTTAAAAAAACATTCCAATTCCTGGTTTATATCGACTTCCTTTTTTATTGAACAGATCGACTCGGATTATTCTTGATTAAAATTAGAGACACATGTCCGGTTAATGCCCAAGTCTGCAAGTATCCATTTGGAAAGTATCCCCTTTTTGGGGAGTTCTTACCTGTCTATTAATTGGAGATAATTGATATGGGGGAAAAACGTGGTCCTTCATCTGCAACATAAGTACACATTTCTATATACACAAGTTTAGTACGACTTTTACGATGAGTTTTTTTGTTTGTTTTTTTTTACGCCGAAAAAAAATAGAGGGTCGCACTATACAAAGGTAATTCTTTTAAAGATGTTAAATCATATATAATTTTTTTTTCTGGAGAGGATAAAATTCAAGCATTTTGGTTGATTGTAACCTGGTTAGGCCTACATACTCAAGGTGCTTTTGGCTAACCTTATCTGTACAGGTAATTTCCTTTAGTCTGCCTCCTGTAGTCTATATTCTTTGTTTCTGCTGCTATATAAACAACAGAAGGTCATGTGCCTCGTAAAATCTGCAAATAGATTCTGAAGAATTAAAAATGTTTCTTTTTTTCTTTTCGCCAATTTGCGTTCATCTTCATTCGAACGTGTTTTCATCACTGAGGTTTTTACTTTTCCAATGGCACCCCTTTGTTTGATACTTATCTATACGATATATGTTTCAGTTGTCTCCTCATTCTATCTTTCTCTCCCTTAATTTACATTTATCTATTATACTCTTTATATGTATTGGTGTTATTTTATCGTATAATTCTCCGTTACATATTCGTAAAATATTCTAACAAGTTGCATCACCATCTGATACCAATTATTGCTTTATTTGACTATAGAAGGTCTACTAGTATTGCTCAGAAATTGTGGTCGCTTTATACACGAGCTATATAAAAAAAATAAAGTTTTCCACAAGAAAATCATAGGTCGAATTAAAAATGAAGTAGACTTATACATGAGTATATACGATATCTAAAAACTCTTTCTAAAAACAGCATCTTTTGTTTATTTCTTAAGTGGTGTTATATTTCCTCATATATATTGATATGCAGGGTTGGTGAGAACTAACTAGGCATTAAAAATTGCTTAGTATCACTGAAGTCATGACGAAAACATTTTTTTAAAAACAGACAGCACTAATAGGGATTTTTATTTACGTGCAGGAAGTAAATTCTGGAGACTGTGACTGCAGAATGGAATTAATGCTGCATTGGTATGAAGATAAGCCTGAATTGTTTGAAATGAAAACACTAGATAGTGTTTTCATTTATCGTCACAACTGCCATTACCGAGCCTCATGTGATAACGATCCGAACTTGACGGTTGGGACGATGCAAGCTCGACCAAAAATAACCGTGTGCTGCAGAATGACGTTAACAAGAATCGTCGACCCACATCTTCTGCGTGACACAATGACTACGGACCGCTATCTTCAGACGCTGGAAAATTACGCGTGGCCTACGGTGCCTGGCTCGATTAACATTGGTGACCTGATCTTTCACTGGTTCCCAGACTCCATGAATTCAAGCGCCCTAGGAGGCTGGCATCCCGCTCCCCAACCTTACACTGTAGAATCTTTTAAATGTAGCCGTCTCTTCTA